CCAGCCTAGCTCCAGGATCAGTGAGAGGACTTGTCATAGAGAATAAGGACACCCCAAAATTCCCACACACTTGTGAGCATACAGCACATACGTACACACACACACACACACACACACACACACACACACACAAAGAAAGAAAGGGAGGGAGGGAGGGAGGGAAAGAAGGGAGGGAGGAATGAGGGAGGGAAGGATGGAGGTTGGGGCATGGCTCAGTGGTAGAGCACTTGCCCAGTGTGCACCTGGTCCAGGGTTTCAGTCCAAACCAGAGAGAGAGAGAGAGAGAGAGAGAGAGAGAGAGAGAGAGAGAGAGAATTGGGTATCGAGTATTGAATATGAGTAAGGAGACTCCTTCCTCCCTTTCTCCCTGAAAAAAAAAGGCATATATATGAATTCTGGAAGGTTTTAAAAAATGAGTTTTTATGGCACAAAAGGTTCAGAGACCTAAGCTGCTACCGGTGGTGGGTGAAGAGGATTTGAAGAAAGAATGTAGGGAGGCGTTGCTGGGGGAGTGTTTGAAGTGATCCCCCCCCCCAAGGAGAAAGGAGAGAAGCAAAGAGGCAAGACCCAGCCTGTCCTTGCTGGGATCTGGCAGTGTCTCCTGCCCAGTGGGCTGGGCAGTGAAAGTGATGATGTTTTGTGGTCACTGTTTCTGTGACTTTCTGATGAGTCATTGGGCTTCCTCACATGAGTGCAGTGGGAAAATGCAGCCATCTGAGACCCTAGAGTTCTGACCCTACTGCAGTGTGACCAAGGAAAGACTCCATCTTCTGCAGAGTACAGCTTCTGCCAAGCTGCTGGGCTGAGGCGAGCCAGGGTCTCTGACAATTACAGCCTCAGCTGGCAAAGAAGAAGGAAGAACAAGTGGTAAGGTACATGGTCATGGTGGTTGTGATGATGGTGCTGATGACAAGAGTAATGGTGGTTGTAATGAGCATGGTGATCATTATATTAATGAAAGTGATGGTGGTAGTAATGGTGATGGTGGTAGCAATGGTGATGATGGTGATGATGGTGGTGGTGATGGTGATGATGTTGGTGATGGTGATGATGATGATGGCAATAATGGTGATGATGTTGATGGTTGTTGATAGATAAAAAGTAGCCGTATGACGAATACGGTTGATCAGGAGAAAGCAGAGTTTATTAGCAAAGGAACACATGGGACAGAGTCCCTTCCGGGCAGGGAAAAATGTCTGCCCAGGTTGTGAGCTGGGGTCTTTTATAGGGGTAGGCTTCTGGAGGGTGCAGAAGGCAGGAAGATGTATTTTTTTTAAAGTTGGGGGGGGCAGTGGGAGAGCAGGCCTGTTAAAACCTGTCCTCTTTAGAGATCAAAGGGGAAGCCTGCTGTGTTGGCCAAACAGTGGAGAAAAGTCTGCTTCTCTTGACTTCAAAGACCAGGGCGCTTATCAGCTAGGTTCCCTTTTCTCAGGAGCTTGAGAAGTCCTTGAGACCCTGTTGGTGAGGGGGCAGGGCTATCTGAACCAACAGTGATGATGGTGGTCATGGTCATGATGGGGTGGTGATGGTGGTAATGGTGATGATGCTGATGATGTTGATGATGATGATGGTGATTATGTTGATGGTGGTGATGGTGGTGGTGATAGTGGTGGTGGTGGTGGTGATGATGGGGTGGTGATGATGGTGATGATAGTGGTGGTGGTGGTGGTGATGATGGTGGTGGTGATGATGGTGATGATAGTGGTGGTGGTGGTGGTGATGATGTTGATGGTGATGATGTTGAAGGTGATGATGATGATGGTGATGATGTTGAAGGTGATGATGATGATGGTGCTGATGTTGATGGTGGTGGTGGTGGTAGTGATGGTGATGATGGTGATGGTGATGGTGGTGATGATGGGTGGTGATGGTGATGATGGTAGCTTTAATGGTGGTGACAATGATGGTGCTGGTGATGGTGATGGTGATGATGATGATGGTGATGATGGTGATGGTGGTGGAGATGGTAGTGATAGTGATGGTGGTGGAGATGGTAGTGATAGTGATGGTGGTGGAGATGGTGATGGTAGAAGGAAATACTAGTTCAGTATCTCATTTATTTTTTCTCCTGTAGTGAAGAGATATGGAGACTGACTTCAAGAGAAGGACAGGAACTGTAAGGTCCTTTAGCAGCCAGCCTGGCCTTTGGTTTCCTTGTTGGGAGCCTGTATTAGTCAGGGTTCTCTAAAGAAACAGAACCGGTAGAATGAATATATATATCCAGTTTTATTTATCAGCTTAGCTCACACGATAGAGTCTGAGTAGTCCAACGATGGCTGCACCACACTGGAGAGGCTGAGAATCCGTAGTCGCTCAGTCCACAAGGCTGGATGTCTCAGTAGTCCCAATCTGGCACTGAAGGTCTGACAAATTCCAGAAGATCAGCTAGTCTTCAGTCTACAGCAGCAAGACGAACTCACCAGCGAGAGAGAAGGCAAGCAGCAAGAAGCCAGGTGTTCTCCTCTGCCATGGCCTTTTATACTGGTTGCCATCAGAAGGTAACACCCACATTTAGGGTGTGTCTTCCGGCTTTAGATGATCCAATTAAGAAGATCTCTTTCATTTCAGTTAATCCCAGATCCAATCAAGTTGACACCCAGGATTAGCCATCATGGAGCCCTTGATTGGGAAACTGAACCCCACTAAAATTCTGGTTCTGTATGGGGAAGGGGTTCACCTTACTCAAATTGGTTTAATGAAGCCCTCTGGAGAGCTGAGCGCCCATCATGGGGGCTGCCTGCCTCTCCCCACCTCCTCTGAATCTCCTAGCGGATTAGATTGGCCCTTGGGTCCCCGCTGAGCCTGGTGCTTGGAAGTGTTGCAGTCCTGGGTGTGACCACCAGGTGGCGGAGCGGGCGCACTAAGCCCTACCCCCTGCAGTCCCAGAAAAGCAGAAAATGCAAGTTAAAAATTCCTTGGCCTGGGAGTGGAAAGTCAGTTGGAGATTCCGGGAGCTTCTGGCAAACCTGGGAGGTTTGACCTTCTGCTGTTAGCAAGGCCCGGGGGTGTCCGTGACAGGCAAAGGGCAGGAAAAGAAGAGGAAGGGAAATAAATTCTGTACACACCTTGGAGTTCAGCCCCCTGGAGCCCAGCGATTCTGAAAGCCAGAGCCAGGCTCCTACGCAGAGGAACACCCTGGGACTCAGGGAGGAGGGGCAGTGCCCTGCATTTTAAAGCCCAACCTGCAATCCCTGCTGCGTGCTCAGATTTGCAGACATCAGTCACTTCACAGCCTAGAAACCAGGAGGTGGAGAGACACCACCACCCCTCAAGTTTAAGTCCAGGGTCCCAGCCAGCCTGACTCAAAGTTTCCCGAGGCTGAGTCTGGCCAGACCCCCTCCCACCACCGCCCATGCTTGCTTTGGACAGGTTCCCCCACCCCTCCGGATCCACAGTTGTAAACTGGCTAATGAGCTCTGAACTGAGGCAGAATAAGGAAGGAGGTCCAGCCTCACCCTCCCAGCCAGGCGCCCTGACTTTCTGGCTGACCTCCATCTTGGTCATGCTCCCCAAGCCCCTGGGGAGATTCTTGGAAGTCCTGGTTCTGGTAACCACGCACTCCTCACCTGTGTACCCAGCATTTCTGCAGATTTCTCTCAGGAACCTACTCAGCCACCTCCCTCTCACACCCTGGGAGGGCGGTCACTTGGGGCTGGTCATGATTCTGACCCATTTCCTGTATTCTGGCTTTTCACTGGGATCTGCTCCAGGTCAGGCTCCTGGCCACGCAGCAGCTGCTCAAAGTGTCTGGTTAGAATTTGAGTCTGGCTATGTGTCCTTGGGCAAGGTGCCTGCCCTTTCTGAGCCTTGTTTTCTCTCATTTGAAGGAGTAAAGCCCCATTTCTCTCTTGGGCTCTGTGAGGTGTGGGTGAGGGCTCTGAGCACAGCCCACAGACAGGTGCCATCAGGAGGCCCAGCATAGGTGGGGCACCAGGGTCTAGCTGGCTTCACCCTTCCTTATAGAGAACATGGAAGGTAGGCTTGGGATGATCAAAGAGGAGGGACTTGGTACGTTTCCACACACTGGCACCTGCTCTAGCCCTTGAAGGGCTTGTAAGAGATATCAAGAAATAGCAGCCCTCAGCTCCACCCTGGAAATTTCTGGTTCAGTAAAGGTAGCCCACACTGCCTAAAAGAGGCTGAGTGGGAAAAGGTGCTTGCCCCCAAGCCTGCCAATCTGAGTTTCATCCCTGGAACCCACATGGAAGAAAGACAATTTTGCAAGGTTGTCCTCCAACCCTTGAACACGTGCACACACATAAATGTAATTCTAAAGAAGTGAAAGCTTATACAAATTTAAGGGAGGGGATGGCAACATGTCTCAGTGTGTAAAGTGCTTGCTGCCAAGCCTGATGACCTGAGTTCGATCCCTGGGACCCACCTGGGTGGAAGAAGAGAACTGATTCCGGCCTCCACATGCTCGCTCACTACGGACATGCATGCTGTGAGGCATGTGTGCACATGCGCACACACACAAATAAATAAGTGAGTGTTAAAAAACAAAAAGAGGTGACTGCTGGCATCAGCAAATTGAACTGATTGTGGGTTCAGGTGAAACCAACAATATCCTGATCAGACTGCTCCATATCAAGGGTTTGACAGGCTCTGAGTGCGATGAGTTCGTGGCAGGAGCCCAGGCTGAGGTTAAACTTTAATGGCTCCTCCACAGACAGCAGATTGTCCCTCTGTGACTGTAACTCAGTAACAGCAGGCTTTGCATCAGAGCTTTTAAAAACCTGTTGGACTTCTCCCTCTGGGTGCCAGGGAAGTCAGAGGTGGCCAGGGTCTCCTCTGGTAGGTGGCTCTGTCATCCAGGCAGCCCAGACCAGCGAGTGCTCTCCTTGATATCCCTCTGCAGCAGGTTGGAACATCCCAGTGGTCGCTCCTGGAAACGCGACAAGGAGACATTTCCTCCTTGGTGGCAAGGAGATTGCTGCCTATCCCTACCCGGCAGGGCGAGGAGCAGCTGGGGAGCATTTGATCCCAGAACTCACCTGCTTCCTTGACGGCTTGTCTTGGCTCTGTCCATGGCATTCGAGGAGCTCCTGGCTCGGGCTGGGGGTGTGGGGCTGTTTCAGGCCCTACAAATCTGCACCCTTCTTCTTCCGGCCCTCCTAACACCTTCTCACATGTTCTTGGAGAACTTCTCCGCCGCCATCCCGGACCACCGCTGCTGGGTCCATGTACTGGACAATAGCTCTGAGCTCCCTGCCAACCTGAGCCACAAGGCCCTCCTAGCTGTCTCCATCCCACTTGGCCCCAACCAGCAGCTTCACCAGTGCCTCCGCTTCCGCCACCCGCAGTGGCAGCTCCTGGACCCCAACGCCACAGCAACCAACTGGAGCAAAGCTGCCACCGAGTCATGTGTGGACGGCTGGGTCTATGACCACAGTACCTTCACGTCCACGATTGTGACAAGGGTAAGGATCCCCAGAGCTCACCTGCACAACTTGCCTCCTCCCCAGCTTTGAATGGCAAGCAAAGTGTTAAAGTGTTCTCTGGGGCTGGGTAGATGCTCAGTTGGTAAAGTGCTTGCTATGCATGAGGACCTGACTTCAGAGCCCTCAGAACCCACATAAAAAATAGAGCCTAGGCAATGCTAGGGAGGCAGAGACAGGAGGATCTCTAGGGCTCAGCAGCTAGCTAGACTAGTGTAATCAGTGAGCTCCAGGTTCACTGAGAGACCCTGCTTCAAAAGAAGGTGAAGAGCAATTGAGGAAGACATCAAAGGTTGACCTCTGGTTTCCACATGCATGCACATACATGTACATGTACCTATCCCACACACACATACACACACAAGAACATGCACACAAGAGTTATCCAGTTATCTATCAAAGGACGGCAGACTTCATCCAGAACCACCTCTAGAGGCAGAGATTGGATTGAGGTGGGGTCTTGTCGGGTGAGAGATGGACTCACACTAAAGATAAAGACACAGTCACAGCCAGGAACCTGGGAGGGGCGGGGGCAGAAAGTGACAAAATGGGGAAGCTAGCTAAACTGACTTAACAGAATTCTCACTGAGACCCTGATGGCCACACTGAGACATCTTGGGTGGGGCAAGAGATGAAGAACCATTAAAGGGTGAAAAGTTTGTGCTGAACTCTCTTAGCAGAGTTCTTTAACAAAACCAGACTGTAGCGGGACAGAGATGGACCTAGGAGAAATTTTCTCAAGTGGAGAATGTGTGTGCTCAAGTATATGCAGACATGCACACACAGGTGCAGGTGCGTGGTGTGTGTGTTGAGGGGCAGAGGTCAACCTTGGGTGTCATTCACCTTTTTTTTTTTTAAAAGATTTACTTATTACTTTTAAGTGTATGAGTGTTTGCCTGCATGTATGTCTGTATACCACTTGTGCATCTGGTGCCCTCAGAGGTGAGAAGAGAGTATTGGATCCTTTAGAACTGGAATTACAGAGGGTTGTGAGCCATTATAGGGTTGCTGGGAACCAAACCCCCCACCTTCTGCAAGAGCAGCAATTACTCTTAACTACTGAGCTATTTTTCCAGCCCTAACCCACTTTAAAAAATATTTATTTATTATTTATTTATTGTTTATTTATTTTATTTATTGGGGTTGGGGTTAAGTTTGGTGATAATTTGCTTACGCTTCTATATCAGTTATTTTATTTTATTTATTTATTTATTTATTTATTTATTTATGTGTTTATCTGTGAGAGTGTATGTGCACATGTGTGGAGTCCAGAAGATGGCACTGGGTGTCCTCCGTCACTCTCCACCTGTTCTTTGAGGCAGGGTCTCTCTCTGAACCTGGTACTTGCATTTTCTCAGTTAGGATGGAAGGCAGCTAGCCCCAGCTACCCTCCTGTCTCTGCTCCCCTCAGAGCTGGGGTTACAGGTTAGAGCCAGATACCTGGCTTGTTATGTGGGTGCTGGCATCCAAACTCCAATTCCCATGATTGCACAGAGGCACTCTTAACCCCCTGAGCCACCTCTCCAGTTCAGTGAGACAAGCTCTCTCATTGGGAAAGCAGGCTCCCCTGATCTGGTCACACTGGCTTTCTTCCAGTGAGTCCCAGGGATCCTCCTGTCTCTGTCTCCCCTGCCACTGCTGCTGGGGTTGCAGGTGTACATCATCACACCCAGCTTTTCATGTGAGTTCTGGGGACTGAACTCAGACCTTTGTGCTTCTGCAGCAAGCATCTTGTTTCCTGAGCTATCTCTCCAGACTCCCTCTCTAGTGGAGAATGTTACCATGCCACCTGTTCTTCTGACTGCCTATTGCGACCCAGGTTCAGCTCCAACTGGGGTTTCAGGATGGACAGGAGGCCTTGGGACTGGCCCGTCTATGCAGTCTGTGTAGAGTAAGGCCAGGTCAGCAGACTTCCTGTCACCTTTACTTTTAGGTGACATGTCCTGTTCTATAGGCTTACCTTCTAGACAAACCCTCACACAGTCCTGCGGGCTGGGTCCTGTCACTGTCCCTGTTGGATAGATGAAGCTGTCAGGTGCAATTGTGCCCTACAGCTGTGCTTAGAGTGGTGCATGCAGACCCTGCACCACCACCCCCATAGCCTACTATAGCCTAGGGATACTTTGTGGGGCTGGGCTCTGAGGACCCAGGCTGACCAGGGGACCCATCCTCCCCCAGCCACCCTCTCCTACGTAACATAAAACCCATCATGCCTCCTTCTCTTTCAGTGGGACCTGGTATGTGCCTCCCAGAACCTGAAGCCCATGGGCCAGTCCATCTTCATGGCTGGGATTCTGGCAGGATCCTTCATCTGGGGTCTTCTCTCCCAGCGGTGAGCACCTCCTCCTCTCCTGTGGCACCAAGGTATTAGGCAAGCTCCACTGCTCCCTTTGAGAGACTTCCTCCCAAATCTGATATACATTGCTACTGAGCCACTGAGCCCCAGGGGACTCAGATCCAGGTGCCTGATGCCAAAGCCATGTTCTTGACTATATATTTACACCACTCCCAAGAGCTCACTACTATTTTGATAGCAAAAGCCTTCTGTGTGTGCTTCTGGAAACGTCTAGAAAGTTCTAGAAGCTTCTAGAAGCTCTGAGAAGGCAGACCTGCAGCACTAGTGTCCCTTCACCAAAGCTTGGGCGAGTAGCACCAGCACGGTGTAGAGCCCCATGTACTCCTCCCCTCCACAGGCTGGGGCGCAAGCCGATCCTCATCTGGTGCTGCCTGCAGGTGGCTGTGACCAGTGCCAGCATCATCTTGTCTCCCAACTTCCTCATCTACTGTGGCCTTCGGTTCCTGAGCGCCCTCGGGCTGCCTGGCATCCTTATGACACAGTCCTCACTGTGTGAGTCCCCTGAGGTCCCTCACTCCTGCTCCTGCCCTAGGGACATGAGGGACCTGGCCCTCATCCTGGCTTCTGCGTCACCTTGCAGTAGCCGAGTGGACCACAACCCGCAGGAGGACTGTTACCATGACGATCCTGAGCTGTACCTACAGTACAGGCCAGATGGCTTTGGCTGGCCTGGCCTACACCCTGCGGGACTGGAAAGACCTCCAGTTGGCCGTGTCCATCCCCTTCTTGGTCTTCTCTCTGCTGTCCTGGTCAGTGCAGTGTGGGGTCTCTTCTCATGGGAGACCTGGGTGGGGGGTGGGGGGGTGTGTTCCCCTCATCTCCTCATCCCACCACGTATCTGGCAACATCCTACTGGGGACCACAAGAAGACAGTGACACTCACTGCTCAGAGTCCCTGGGTGAGTATTTTGGCCAGAAGCCTGTGGCTCCCATCCAGTGGGGACAGGTGTCCACTGTCCCACACAGTGGCGGGGGTGGGGGCACTGCCAACGTAAAAATCAGGAGATAGTTGAAAACAAAGATGAGCAGAATTTCTACCTTTTCCTGAAAACAGAGAAGATCCTGGGGCATCAGGCAGGAATCTGGCCAACAGAGCAGTTGCCTCTGTCCTCTGAGTCTGTCCTCTGGCCTGGGGCTGGCTTCTCACTTTGTGCCGGCACTATCCCCAACCACCAGCCTCACCCTCGGCACCCACATCTGTGAGGACCGACTTTGGCTATTGAGACTGTGCCAGTGTCACTTTCTTTGAGTTATGCAAAAATCGCAGTGTGGAAATCTCTGCTTAGGTGGACACTGGGGGAAGGGACAGGAAAACACACAGGAGTGACTGTCACTGTGAGTTCTCTGTACTCACAGAATGGAACTGGTCAGCCCCACCGTGGGGGTGTGAAGGGCAGGAACCAGCCTTTTTTTTTTTTTTCTTAAATATAGCGGAGCTCCTTCCCCAGACCAGACATGGTTCCAGGTACCGAAGACACACTAGGGACCAAAACAGACCAAAAGCCACCCACAGTGTGGAGTTTCTATTCTGTGAACAGGACCAGTAAGCTAAGAGGAAGGACCATGCCATAATTACACACACCACCACCCAACAACCCAGATTGCATGGGTATGGCACACACCAGGTTCAGCTTGTAACCCTAGAGCCCACAGAAGACAATGTCTTTGTCACTGTTTTCTGATGAAGGACTAGGTCTAGAAAGGTTTAGACACTTGCCCAAAATCACTTAGTTAATGAGTACCAGCAGTAAATTTGAAC